CTGAAATCATAAATATAAAGCTCAAAAACTTGAAGAAGAAAAAGAAAAGAAATTCTTTGAAATTCCTAACAAAATTGGAAGATGAGCCAAATCATAAGGGGTGCTAGAATATGACTTTACCTAGGGCGCCAAGTCTAGAGCCAGCCCTGCACACATGGCTTTTAAACTAGTGTATGATTACTGCTGGCAATAGAAGGCAAGACAGTCATGTATGTGTGCGTGTAAGAGAGAGATTCCCTACCCCTCTGCAACATATATGCTCCTCAAAAATATGCTGTAGAATGTTTAGTATTCTTCAGAATAACAGGGAAGAGGAACTGAGAATGCACAGGTAAAAGGAGGAGCTCATGAAAATTGATCCATCTCTCCTTATTACCCAGTCTGTTTACTGAGGAGCTTCCCCACTGATAAAAGCAAACCTGCTTATTGTAGGAGTAAACTTGAGGAAGACACAACACAAAGGACTGAATCTAATGATGCTTCCTCTAGCAGTGAAAGGTGCTGGATCTTCCTTCACTGAAGGATGTTCCTCTGAAGCTAATCCACAGAAAACCCATAGTGTATTAAGGAAAACTAATGGGAATGTTTACTTATGACAAAATACAGACTGTGTATTGATTTCAGACATGAACTGTATGCGTTTTGGTGGTCTCATCATTGTCACACCTTCTCGGTCCTAGCTCTATGTCACTAATTGAGCCACATACCTGTAGCTGGGCAGCTGCATTGCATAACTACACATAATGTTTTATTGTTTAGGTTTACATCCACTTTATATGGCTGGAATCTGAATTTGGACAGGTTGCATTTTCACTAAGATTTCATTTATTATTTCAATAACTCTTTTCTGGGTGGTCACAACAAATCTTCAGTGTTATCAGTGTGTTTTGGGCCATTTGGTTGTCTGCTAATGTTTTTGACTGACCTATTTCTATCTGGTAGTTTGCTATCTTGAATAAGCAGTGACATTTACAAACTTGTGCTGTAAATGACACTAGTCATAAATGATGACTAACTTATTATTTAACAGTATTATAAGGCTTTCCATGCTGATGTAGCTACATGACATGAACATCACCTGCCCTTTCCCAGTTTCCTTACCAATTACCAGTCCCTAGTAAAACCTTTCTCCTTCCACCACATAACTAAGGCTTTTATTTAGAAATTAAGAAATTAAGAGGGGTTAGTTAAAAAGCTTTCTGAAAATCCAATTATATAGTGCCTGTAAAATACGTGTAGTAATACCTGTACCTGTACATCAATACCTGTATCTTGTTAATATTCCTAGGTAAATCTTTAAAAATGCAACAATATTGGGCATAAATCAAAGATGCCTAGGAAGCAATTCAAGTGATATTTTAATAAATTAAGCCATCTGCTGAGAGAGAGAGAGAGAGAGAGAGAGAGAGAGAGAGAGAGAGAGAGAGAGAGAGAGAGAGAGAGAGAGAG